AGAAAAGAAAGTGAGGAAAATCTAAAATTAGCGTGGTGTTAATTTCATCAACTTCATTGAAAAATGGTTTTTAGCAAAAAAAGTTTCAACCACAAGTGTAAAAAGAAGAAAAACATTTAACATGAAAAAGCGTTTTTTCTTTCGGTTATTTTGTCAATTTGTCAACCAAAAAATATTTGGCCTTAAAGTTCAGTCGGAAATGTCAGGGCTTCGCTTCTGATATAGGAGACGTCTCGTTAGTTTATTTGTTCTGATTGTTTTTCTTGATCTCGGGTCCGACTTTTCGAATTTTTAACAAACAATTTTGATGGAAGTTTTTTTATATCATGAAAAAAGTATTGCTGTCTCGTGCTCAAAGTTGAAAAATATTTTTCCTGTAATTCTTTTTTTTGCTAAGTTATCAGAGTTTGAAGATTGCCAATTTGGCCAATTTGCGATAAATGATGGATTTTTTTTTCTAAACTTTAAGTTTTTTATAAAAATCATCGCCCCACACGCCATATAAAATCAAAAAGAATCGATTTCGCTCCTTGTAACAAATCAGATATGGCGAATAAGCTTCTTTCAATTAATTTGGATCAATTTCTAAGACGGATTAACTCTCCGCTTACGCGTTAATATATATCGCGCGTTAATTGTCCCAAACTGGCCGAAATAGCAATTTTTAAACCCTCATAATTTCACAAAAAATGATCACAGGTGAAATATCTTTTCAAGCTTCAGCTCAGGACAACAATACTTTTCAAAATTTACGTCAAAAATGACTAGTTAACAAGTCGAAATTTGTCTAAGAAAAAAAAAACACCCCGAGCACAAATATTCCGTTACTTTCGTTTCGAAAGTCGGAACAACAAGGGATGTCATTTGTTATTTTGCTAAATGAGAAAAAATTCAATTTGTAATTTAATTAGCGATTGGGGAGGGGATTTTCAAAAACACTCCAAAATTTTTCTTTTAAATTGTTTCCTTTTTCTGAAAACTTTATCAAGTTTTTAAAGGCAACAATTCTTGAAGAGCAGTCTGAACATTCGGGGCTTCAACTTAATACGAACAACCTTTTTTTCGGACTTTCGTAACGAAAGTAATGGAATATTTATGCTCAGGGTGGGTTTTGCTAGTTAACTTCGGACAATTAACGCGCGATATAATTTGCTCTATTAACGCGTATTGCTCTAAATTGGTGGAAGAAAGCTCAATTGCCATAATTGATTCAATAATACGACCGAGCTCGATCTTTTTGTGTTTTATTTGTTGTGTGGAGTGATGATTTTAACAAAAACCTCAATTTAAAAAAATGCATTCTATTCTTTTTCCTTATAAAAGTAAGCAGAGGGTTAATCCGTCTCAGAAATTGTTCCAAATTGGTTGAAAGAAATTTATTTGCCATAAATGATTTGTTACAAGAAACGAAATATATTCTTTTGCACTTAACATGGCGTGTGGGGTATGATTTTTGTTTAAAAAAATGAATTTTTAGAAAAAAAAAGATTTTCATTTTGTTTTATTTAATTAAACTTTTTAATATTATTACTGCTCCATAAACTTTAAAAGGCAGTCGAAACATTCAGGGCTTCGCCCTGATACGAGCAGTTTTGTTAATTTTGAGATTCGTTTTGAAAAAATAGTATTCAATTGAGATCAATGCAAATTTTCTGATCGTCTCCCCAATAATTATTTCAAAATTGAATCTAAAAAACATCTGGGGTCAGAATGTTTTGTATTACTTGCACAACAAACTGCTGGTCTAGTTTATTTTTCCTAGAATTTTTTATCAATTAAGGTGAATACTCAATGACGTTCAATTATTTTGAAGACACAATAAACTCACGTTTGTAAAATGATCCCGAGATATTGAACTGACAGCTCGACTTAGCCAAAACTGAGCACGATTAAAAAGATATTTAAAAGTACAGAATGATTATATGACCAGTTTCTGGTTTACTAGTTAGCTCCGTAGCTTTGATTAGAGCTGTTTTTTAAACTGTATAACGCTTGTCTTGATTTTTGCTGCATAACACAGTTTCTACGATCATAGAAACTTATAAAACAATATGACTCGCGATAATGATCTTACGACCGTTCAGCTAACAAAATCTACATAAGTCCAACAAAAAAGCATCAGATATATACAAAACTTGGATCTTGAACTTAAACAAGCAACCCTTGCTTCAACAATTTTCAAAGAAAATGAAAAAAAAATACGACATCTTAATTTTGCTCCAGACAAAAATAAGTGAACAAAAAAGTCGGAAAAATAAAAACCTATTAAATAAGTTAAGTAAAAAATAGGCCGAGGAGTATATGAGTGTACAAAATATGAGCTGTAAAGTATATGTGTATAGAGTATATTATTTGTGTGGGAGGCGGAGCAATTAGCAGAATGGTCTAAGAGCAGAATGGGTCCAAGAGCAGAAAAACAGAAAACTTTTAACTCTTACTGATTAATACGGGCAAAATGATAAATAATTAGCATAGTTGTCAATAATACCAAGAAAGTGAATAAAGTATTCATGATTTGAATAATTTCATCAAGTTTAATTTAATGAATTTAAAAAAAATTTGATTTAGTAACTCAATTATGTAAAGAATATTAGTTTCTTTGATAATATTGAATATAATTATACTTAATTTATTCATCAGATTATAAAAATTTAAAATTTTATATTTTTCGACTCTTGGAACCAATCTCCTCGTAGACCATTTTGCTTTTTGACTGCATTTGTTTGTATAAAGTAAAATGACTTAAATGTCTCTAGCTTGGGGACCGATCCTTTAGCATACCAACCTTTAGCATAAAAAGTGAAAAATGAGTCTATTAGCAGCCCACCGTAATATAATGATGGATGATTGATTGACGGCCTCAAAAACACGCTCAGTCTGGGGCCAAGCTTCCCCAATCAAGACAATATTCTCACGATTTATCAAAAAAACTTCAAAAACAAAACTGTCTAAATTAGCGTCAAAACAAAAATTTAAGCGTGCGATAACACTCGTGTTGATTCAGAGCGCAGCCGAGCAAGCGTTAGCTACGCTAATCGCCATTGATGCTTTTGACTTTAGCTATCTGACTTTATAATTGTTTTGAGTTTGCTAAAAAATAAATTGGTCTGCTAAAAACCAGTCTATTAAAGTCCCCAGCACCCTCCAGCTTGCTAGTAAAAAAATGAGGTTTCGAAGCTTCTGTGGATAATTTTTCTTTAATATTCAGCGGCATAAAAGTAGTTATCGAGGCTGAGACCACAAGCGGACGGGACTTCAAAGCAGAGGGACATCAAGCCGAAAGTTAATTTTTACAAGCACATCAAATCATTTTTTTTCTTTCATCTGTAGTACGTTGCTTTCAAAAGTTTAGCAAAGCTTAGACCATAACAATTGTTATTCATGACAATGAATCACTTAGGATTGGCATTCGTTAATCATATCAGATGAGGGAACACGATTTGAAGCTAAATAAAGAAATTCATATACAAATGCCGCCGCATCACTTAAAAGACCCATATATTCAGAAATCAATTTAAATTAGGACGGCCTATAATAGAAGGCACATAAGTGTTACTAGAAAGATATCTAAGCCACTACAAGAAAATCAAAAATTTTAAAATTTAATTGCCGGACGTTATACAGTACGTGAAAAGATCCCGGTTACGTCTGGAAATCAAACTGGAAGTTACGTCTGGAAATCAAACTGATTTTTCACCAACGAAAATAAGATTTTTTACCGCAATCTTATACTTCCATTGAATACTTTCCGAATGAAGAAAAAGTGACCAAACTACTACAAGATTACTATGGCAAATCATTTTGGAACGATTAACTTTTACGAGAGATAACGATGTTAGGAAACAAAATATTATTAGCTACGACATCGTGGGAGATTTACAACGATGTACAAAGGACTCTCCTCGTAAAATATGAATGTACAATTAACATTCGCGAGAGATAACGAAGTTAAAAAAAAATTTATTCGCTACGACAAAGTGGGAGATTTCCCAATAAAGTACAAATAGAAGCTGAAATTACCGAAATTCATTCCAACAATTTTCTCTCAGCCACGCCAACCCTTCTCTCTAAAAAGAATATCCAACAATACTCTCTAAAATTTCTACGCCTGGCTCCTTCTGATTCTCGCATTGAGAAACAAACCCAAGTAGTTAGACGCCACAAGGTACTAGCGGTTAAATCGTCGGTGCCAGAATCCACACACTTGATGACAGTTATGAGACAGCCCTTAAATCCTACTGAATTAAATAGTAAACTGGATATTCTTAATAAATTCCCTCCTTGGTCACCAAAAACTGTATATTTCTACAAAATTTGTAACTGCAAAACGCAAACCTCCCAGTTGGATGAATATAACGATCAAACAGATCCAACGGAGTCATTTTCATGAGACTCGTCAAACCCGTCAAATTCATTTTTAAAATTAAATATTTTTTTAAAAACAAATAACCCAAACTTATGGCCCGGTTGGAAGAAAATTGTGAAAATTTATCCTAAGTTATTACTATAGCTACCAAAATTGTTGAAAAGACGAATCGGTCTATACAATTTCATAATAGCTATGCTGCATAAATATTACTATACTACATATATTACATAGTATATAATACCAATAACTACTGAAGAAAAATCATAAAATTGAGAAATTCTTTTTGAAAGTTATCAATTTAACCATATTTTGTTACCTAATGAGAAAAATTTCGGCTGGAACTCCCTAAGTACACAATTCGGCTGGAAATCCCATCGGTTCGATGTCCGGCACCCATAGTTTTCGTCTTGTGATTGCATACATTATGCTCACTTTGGCTCAATTTTTTTCTTTCGCTTGTATTTTCTTACCTCTTGATAGTTGTTATATCCACAGGCATAAAACTGCATACGTAGTGATCTAACGGTGCTTTTCAAACTTTTGGTTGATTAAATTCGAAAACGAAACGAAACTAAGTCTAGTTTAAACGCTTTATTTTTTAAAGCACGTGCTTAATAAAAAATAACAATTTTGATTACTATACGTGGTAGTTTTTTTAAAAACAAGCTCGCAGATCTTACAGCTGTACGTTTCATTCGTTATATAACAAAATCGAAGCCAAACTATTGATTTACCTTTGCAATTTATCACAGATCTGTGCTTGTTGTTTGTCGCGTCAACCAAAAAAAAAACAAGCGGGCAGCTTCATTCCCTTAAGCAAGGTTAGTAACACAACCTTTTTTAGACATCAGTTATCAAATCAACAATTAGTTTCCCACAAGGTAGATCAGTAACAAAAAGTTTCCATGAAAAACCACTTTATGACAACTGAACACTGTTATCAGAGAGAGCGTACATTTAAACATATCTATCAGTTAACCTCCCATTAATATTTTAGTAGCAAAATTAAATTAAATAAAGCTAAATAATTGAGCCTGTTAATAAAAAGTCAACGGTTAAAATTCAACCGATTTTTTTCTCAATAGACTTCACGGCTATACAGTTGTGGAAAATCAGAGGGCAGCAAAACAAGTTGCTGCCCTAGAAGTCGCTAGAGATGAGCTACGTTGGTACCACTGGACATGTCAACGAGGGGGAGGGGGGTACCAAAAAGGAGGAGCGGCAAGCAAGAGCATTGGAGGAACAGGAAGTTCAAGGAGTAAGCACAGGAGAAACTCACGAGAAGATCACTACGGGAAGTGAGAGGTAAGAGGTGTTAGTGGCTAGTTTGTTATACTAGCTGCTTGTACATCATAGCTGCCACTTCTACAATAAATCCGCACTTTTTCCGTGCAACCTTCACTTGTTTCTGTAAACCTTCTTCGCTTGCTTCTATAACCTTTTTCATTAGTTTCTGCAACATTCTTCGCTAACAAGGTCGAAGTGCTCACTTTATGTTTCGACCGTCTCGAAGTGCTCACTTTATGTTTCGACCGTCTCGGCCAAAAATCATTATGCTCCGACCGTGCTCGACCGAAACAATTATGCCCGACCGTGCTCAATCCAGACAATACATGTTTCGACCGCGATCGACCAAAAATTGTGCTCGACCGTGCTCAACCTAATAAAGATATGTTTCAATCATGCTCGACGAAAACTATATGCTCGACAGCGCTCGACTCATGCAAAATTTGTTTCGACCGTTTCTCGACCGGAAAATGGTGCATATACAAAACAGTTGGAAAAATCATGTAGTGAAGAGAAAAAACAGTCCAACGCAAAACAGTCCGGTGATAACCGGCTCTAAATTTCATTTTAAGTCCTACCCTCTCTTGGCAAGCTCGCAACACCTTGGCGGTGGTCTCTTTTTTGGTTTTTATGTTTGTTGAACAAAGGACAATTCTCGGCCTACCGGTTTGCTAAAACAATTTTTATGTGGAATGCTTTTCGAGCTGTTTTGTACCGGACTGTTTTTTGTTCAATTTCATACTTTTCCCGACTGTTTTGCATATGACTATTTTGAATGGGACTTTTTGTACAGACACGCTGACAAAAAATGTCGAAAATAACGCCGACTTGAGTCACAAAATACTACTGTTGATTGCCTGGAATTGCTAGGAAACTGATAATCATCAAAAAAACAGAAGGTGAGACTGCTCGATAGTTTTAAATTTTTCATCCCATTTCTTGATTTGATTCCTATAACGTTTTCTTCGACTGTCAAAAAGCTCCAAGAACTGGTTGTCATTAAAATTTTCTGTTTTTTTTTTCACGTGAAAAAAAAATTATTAATGAAATCAAAAATAGTGAAATTTTGAAATTTTTGTTTTTATTTTAGATTAAAACTGATTATTGCAGGTTTATTTTATTGATTCATAGGCGTTCAGATAATTAATTCATTTATTTGTCTCTAATTGATTTGAGGCTGATAACCAGCAGAAAAACTTGAAATTATTTTTGTGTTTTTTTTCTGATGATTATTAGTTATGAGCACAACTTCATTGATTTTTAATAATTACATTTTGGAAATTCATTTGACTTTGTTTTAACCATAATTAACGTATGTCTAAATTGAGTTTTGAAACCGAGAGTTAACTCAGAATTGCACTAAGGTTTTTAATTTTTTTTTTCAAAAATATCAAAGATTGCTGGACTTGGGAAGACTAATAGTCATACAATTCCGATGAGCAGTAAGTTTAATTTGCTATGTTTCGACCGTCCTCGACCGAAACAAACATGTTCGACTCAAGAAATATATATGTTTCAACCAAGCTCGACCGTAAAATATATGTGTATCCCGAAAAAAAAGCTGGTCATACGATTCCATTAAGGGAAGAAAAGCAACTCATGCAACTTTATTAACGGAAAAAACGCTTATGTTGCTGTTTTTGTACACTTTTCCTATTATATGGAATTTTCTGATAGGCAATTTTTCATTAACGAAAATGGTATGATAAGCATTTTTCGTCTATCCAGTATGTTTTGAGCGAGCTCGACCGAAAAAAAGGAAATGTGCTTGACCAAGCAAGATATGCTTCGGTTTTTGGCTAGTTTGTTATGATTATTTCTTATCAGAATGATATGAATAGAGGTATTTGTAAACTAAATGCTTTGTAGAGAAGAACTTTTTCTGAGTTCCTTTTTCCGTCTTTTGGAATACTGGTTTGCAATTTCAGTCAAAAATGTTTTAAGAAATGTTGACGCCATCCACCCTAAATTGCCCTCAATAAAACACTGTTTTTTCGGAAATTGACTTTCGAGCGCGAAAATTGACTTTCTTTTTGACTTGCAAATATCGCGGAACAGTCCGTGTTTTTCGACCGTGCTTGGGGTATGTTTCGAGCGTGCTCGTGGAATGTTTTGACTGTGCTCGAGGTATGCTTCGACCGTGCTCGAGTGATTATTTCGACCGTGGCAGAGGTCTGTTTCGACCGTGCTCAAGATATGTTTCGACGGTGCTCGAGATATGTTTTGTCCGTGCTCGAGGTGTGTTTCGACCGTGCTGGAGGTATGTTTCGACCGTACTCTAGGTATGTTTCAACCCTGCTCCACTGTACTCGACCGTGCTCGTGGTATGTTTTGACCGTGCCCGAGGTATGTTTCGACCATGCTCGAGGGATTATTTCGACCGTGCCAGAGGTCTGTTTCGACTGTGCTCAAGGTATGTTTCGACGGTGCTCGAGGTATGTTTCGACCGTAGTCTAGGTATGTTTCGACCGTGCTCGAGGTATGTTTCGATCGTGCTCGAGGTGTGTTTCGATCGTGCTCCAGGTGTGTTTCGACCGTGCTCGAAGTGTGTTTCGACCGTGCTGGAGGTATGTTTCGACCGTACTCTAGGTATGTTTCAACCATGCTCCACTGTACTCCACTATGCTCGGGGTATGTTTTGAACTTTTGCTCGACCCAAACCTCTGTCTTGACTATTGTTTTTTAGTCGAGCACTGACATGTGATCGGCTTTGAAAGTCTAAACATTAATTGAGCACCTCGACCCGGGCAGACTCGTTAGTCTTTTCCCCTTCCCCTTCATTTTTAGTTTTCTTCTGAATTCAATCTTTTAAAATGCTCCTCAATCTTAAAAACAATAGTGCTTTCACTTGAGAACACACGTTTGGCTGGCTTAGTTTTCACTCCGAATCGTTCTATGATCCTGGAGACCAATGGCAATTTTGCCGGCTCTATCATTGTTCAAAGTTTTATTCTTTTTTACAACTAATGGATCAATGCTATATTCGCATTCCCATAAAGTAAAAGGAAAACTTTCGATTTTTCGATAACAATACTGTGACAAATTTCTTAATCGGCACACTTACAAGATTGTTCCGATCATCATTTAGATTTTTTCCAACTAAATGTTGATGATGATAAGTCCTGTACTTAAATAACACCCAAAATAACAAGGGCTACAGGACCATATTTTTTTAAACAAAAAAAGATAGTTAACCAAATTAAACTCTTTAGCATCCAGCCAAAGTGCTTCCATTTATACTAATGCTCAGATGCAAAACTATGGAAAATGAAAGAAACACTGCAAAAAACACCTACATCCTTTCCAAATGGCGAAATTTTCTTTTCTCGATTTCATGTAGCCCATTTGGCTCTACTCAAACTCTGTATTTAGACTTTTTCACTTTTTCTATATTTTGGAACAACGAATACACCAGTATATACGTGAAAATACAATTCTTTTTAGCACAAAATGGAATAGTCTTCTCCAAATTTCTTTTAGTGAAGTTTATACTGGATTTTTTAGTGTTTATAACCAAAGCCCAACATATTCAGAAAACCACTTGCTGCTTCGTGTATTATAGTCTTCACTTCTATAGTAACCTCAACTTTCAGACTTTTACTCAGGATGATTAAATTGAAAATTAACAAAAGTCAAAAAAAGTACGGTCACCTCTATTGGAGGAGGTTGACAATATCAACCAGTATCATGTGTATCCTCGCTTCCAACTAACAGTTTTTGATCGCAGAAATTAAAACTTGGAACCTCCTACCAACCGCCTGCCAACGCTTTGAGTTTCTTCTCTCCCTTTTTTCACCCATCCATCCACTGGTCTCTCAACAATCATCATCAACTCAACTAGCAACTTTTTCAACTCACCCTCCTACTACGGCCCTTGCTACAACAACGGCCTCAAAACGAACGTTTCTTCTCGTAAACTACGTAAAATATGACTGTACGATTAACTTTTACGAAAGATAACGATGTTAGGAAACAAAATCTTTTTAGCTACGACATAGTGGGAGATTTACAACGATGTACAAAGGACTCTCCTCGTAAAATATGAATGTACAATTAACATTGCGAGAGATAACGAAGTTAAGAAAAGAAAAAAAAAATATTCACTACGACAAAGTGGGAGATTTCCCAATAAAGTACAAATAGAAGCTGAAATTACTGAAATTCAATCCAACATTTTTCTCTCAACCACACCAACCCTTCTCTCTAAAAGGAATATCCAACAATACTCTCTAAAATTTCTCTACGCCTGACCCCTTCTGATTCTCGCATTGAGAAACAAACGCGAGTAGTTAGACGCCACAAGGTACTAGCGGCTAAATCGTCGGTGCCAGAATCCACACACTTGATGACAGTTATGAGACAGCCCTTATATCCTACTGAATTAAATAGTAAACTGGATATTCTTAATAAATTCCCTCCTTGATCACCAAAAACTGTATATTCCTACAAAATTTGTAACTGCAAAAATGCAAACCTCCCAGTTGGATGAATATAACGAACAAACAGATGCAACGGAGTCACTTTCATGAGACTCATCAAACCCGTCAAATTCATTTTTAAAATTAAATATTTTTTTAAAAACAAATAACCCAAACTTATGGCCCGGTTGGAAGAAAATTGTGAAAATTTATCCTAAGTTATTATTATAGCTACCAAAATTGTTGAAAAGACGAATCGGTCTAAACAGTTTCATAATAGCTATACTGCATAAATATTTCTATACTACATATATTACATAGTATATAATGCCAATAACTACTGAAGAAAAATCATAAAATTGAGAAATTCTTTTTAAAAGTTATCAATTTAACCATATTTTGTTACCTAATGAGAAAAATTTCGGCTGGAACTCCCTAATTATACAATTCGGCTTGAAATCCCATCGGTTCGATGTCCGGCTCCCATAGTTTTCGTCTTGTGATTGCATACATTATGCTCACTTTTGGCTCAATTTTTTTCTTTCGCTTGTATTTTCTTACCTCTTGATAGTTGTTATATCCACTGGCATAAAACTGCATACGTAGTGATCTAATGGTGCTTTTCAAAATTTTGGTTGACTAAATTCGAAAACGAAACGAAAGTAAGTCTAGTTTGAACGCTTTATATTTTCAAAGCACGTGCTTAATAAAAAATAACATTTTTGATTACTATACGTGGTAGTTCTTTTTAAAAAACAAGCTCGCAGATCTTACAGCTGTACGTTTCATTCGTTATATAACAAAATCAAAGCCAAACTATTGATTTACTTTTGCAATTTATCACAGATCTGTGCTTGTTTTTTGTCGCGTCAACCAAAAAAAAACAAGCGGGCAGCTTCATTCCCTTAAGCAAGGTTGGTAACACAACCTTTTTTAGACATCAGTTATCAAATCAACAAAGATCAGTAACAAAAAATTTCCATGAAAAACCACTTTACGACCACTGAACACTGTTATCAGAGAGAGCGTACATTTAAACATATCTACATATCTATCAGTTAACCTCCCATTATTATTTTAGCAGCAAAATTAAATTAAATAAAGCTAAATAGTTGAGCATGTTATTAAAAAATCAACGGTTAAAATTCAACCGATTTTTTTCTCAATAGACTCCACGGCTATACAGTTGTGGAAAGTCAGAGGGCAGCAAAACAAGTTGCCTCCCTAGAAGTCGCTAGAGATGAGCTACGTTGGTACCACTGGACATGTCAACGAGGGGGAGGGGGGTACCAACAAGGAGGAGCTGCAAGGAGGAGCATTGGAGGAACAGGAAGTTCAAGGAGTAGGCACAGGAGAAACTCACGAGAAGATCACTACGGGAAATGAGAGGTAAGAGGGATTATTAGTGGCTAGTTTGTTATACTAGCTGCTTGTACATCATAGCTGCCACTTCTACAATAAATCCGCACTTTTTCCGTGCAACCTTCACTTGTTTCTGTAAACCTTCTTCGCTTGCTTCTATAACCTTTTTCATTAGTTTCCGCAACATTCTTCGCTTACAAGGTCGAAGTGCTCACTTTTTGTTTCGACCGTCTCGACCAAAATTCATTATGCTCCGACCGTTCTCGACCGAAATAATTATGCCCGACCGTGCTCAACCCAGGCAATACATGTTTCGAACGCCCTCGACCAAAAATTGTGCTCGACCGTGCTCAACCTAATAAAGATATGTTTCAATCATGCTCGACGAAAACTATATGCTCGACAGCGCTCGACTCATGCAAAATTTGTTTCGACCGTTTCTCGTTCGGAAAATGGTGCATATACAAAACAGTCCAATACAAAATAGTTGGAAAAATCATGTAGTGAAGAGAAAAAACAGTCCAACGCAAAACAGTTCGGTGATAACCGGCTCTAAATTTCATTTTAAGTCCTACCCTCTCTTGGCAAGCTCGCAACACGTTGGCGGTGATCTCTTTTTTGTTTTTTATGCTTGTTGAACAAAGGACTATTCTCGGCCTACCGGTTTGCTAAAAAAATTATTATGTGGAATGCTTTTCGAGCTGTTTTGTACCGGACTGTTTTTTGTTCAATTTCATACTTTTACGGACTGTTTTGCATGTGACTGTTTTGAATGGGACTTTTTGTACAGACACGCTGACAAAAAATGTCGAAAATAACACCGACTTGAGTCACAAAATGCTACTGTTGATTGCCTGGAATTGCTAGGAAACTGATAATCATCAAAAAAAACTTAAGGTGAGACTGTTCGATAGTTTTAAACTTTTCATCCCATTTCTTGATTTGATTCCTACAATGTTTTCTTCGACTGTCAAAAAGCTCCAAGAACCGGTTATCATTAAAATTTTCTGTTTTTTTTCACGTGAAAAAAAAATTTATTAATGAAATCAAAAATAGTGAAATTTTGAAATTTTTGTTTTAATTTTAGATTAAAACTGATTATTGCAGGTCAATTTTATTGATTCATAGGTGCTCAGATAATTAATTCATCTGCTTGTCTCTAATTGATTTGAGGCTGATAACCAGCAGAAAAACTTGAAATTATTTTAGTGTTTTTTTTCTGATGATTATAGTTATGAGCACAACTTCATTGATTTTTAATAATTACATTTTGGAAATTCATTTGACTTTGTTTTAACCATAATTAACGTATGTCTAAATTGAGTTTTGAAACCGAGAGTTAACTCAGAATTACACTAAGGTTTTTAATTTTTTTTCAAAAACATCACAGATTGCTGGACTTGGGAAGAATACTAGTCATACAATTCCGATGAGCAGTAAGTCTATTTTGCTATGTTTCGACCGTCCTCGACCGAAACAAATATGTTCGACCCAAGAAATATATTTTTCAACCAAGCTCGACCGAAAAGTATATGTGTATCCCGAAAAAAAAGCTGGTCATACGATTCCATTAAGGGAAGAAAAGCAACTCATGCAACTTTATTAACGGAAAAAACGCTTATGTTGCTGTTTTTTTTACACTTTTCCTATTACATGGAATTTTCTTATAGGCAATTTTTCATTAACGAAAATGGTATAATAAGCATTTTTCGTCCATCCAGTATGTTTTGAGCGAGCTCGACCGAAAAAAGGAAATGTGCTCGACCCAAGCAAGATATGCTTCGGTTTTTGGCTAGTTTGTTATGATTATTTCTTATCAGAATGATATGATTAGAGGTATTTGTAAACTAAATGCTTTGTAGAGAAGAACTTTTTCTGAGTTCCTTTTTCCGTCTTTTGGAATACTGGTTTGCAATTTCAGTCAAAAATGTTTTAAAAAATGTTGACGCTATCCACCCTAAATTGCCCTCAATAAAACACTGGTTTTTCGGAAATTGACTTTCGAGGGCGAAAATTGACTTTCTTTTTGACTTGCAAATATCGCGGAACAGTCCGTGTTTTTCGACCGTGCTTGGGGTATGTTTCGAGCGTGCTCGTGGAATGTTTTGACTGTGCTCGAGGTATGTTTCGACCGTGCTCGAGGGATTATTTCGACCGTGCCAGAGGTCTGTTTCGACCGTGCTCAAGGTATGTTTCGACGGTGCTCGAGGTATGTTTTGGCCGTGCTCGAGGTGTGTTTCGACCGTGCTCGAGGTGTGTTTCGACCGTGCTGGAGGTATGTTTCGACCGTGCTCAAGGTATGTTTCGACGGTGCTCGAGGTATGTTTTGGCCGTGCTCGAGGTATGTTTTGGCCGTGCTCGAGGTGTGTTTCGACCGTGCTCGAGGTGTGTTTCGACCGTGCTGGAGGTATGTTTCGACCGTAATCTAAGTATGTTTCAACCGTGCTCGAGGTATGTTTTGATCGTGCTCGAGGTGTGTTTCGACCGTGCTCGAGGTGTGTTTCGACCGTGCTCGAGGTGTGTTTCGACCGTGCTGGAGGTATGTTTCGACCGTAATCTAAGTATGTTTCAACCGTGCTCGAGGTATGTTTTGATCGTGCTCGAGGTGTGTTTCGACCGTGCTCGAGGTGTGTTTCGACCGTGCTGGAGGTATGTTTCGACCGTGCTGGAGGTATGTTTCAACCATGCTCCACTGTACTCCACTATGCTCGGGGTATGTTTTGAACTTTTGCTCGACCCAAACCTCTGTCTTGACTATTGTTTTTTGGTCTAGCACTGACATGTGCTCGGCTTTGAAAGTCGAAAGATTAAGTGAGCACCTCAACCCGGGCAGACTCGTTAGCCTTTTCCCCTTCCCCTTCATTTTTAGTTTTCTTCTGAATTCAATCTTTTAAAATCATAATTAGTGATACAATGAAATTGAATTTTATAAATTATGCCAGACGAGATCAAACGTACAATTCCCCCCGATTTACCAATTTTCCCATCGGTTTAGGGGGATAAAATACCGGTTTTTCGGAAATTGACTTTCGAGGACAAATTTAATTGATCTAATGTGTCAAAAAAATCAATCGATACCAAATTATGATTCTATCAACAGGATAAAGTATTGGGTAACAAAAGAATTTTCTCCAGCATTATATTTAGTTTGTTTAAAAGGATTGTTTTATGCGGAATCAATTTTCAAAAGTAAAAAATGCTTGAGGGGACATCTGCGGTAGTGGAGGGGGGTGTAATTATGTACAGTTGATCCGCCAAAAGTAATATTTGTATAGCCAAATTAATAAAAGAGCTTATAATTTATCCAATGTGCTTAGAGCGGAAGAGTCTACATCCCAACACCAAGGATCATCTAGATCATCCACAAAACCACCTTCTGAGTCAACTATGGAGAAACTCAAGAAAATGTACCCTGACATGGACAAAAAACTGGTATTTGCACCGCTACTGCCAGAGATAGTGCGAGACAATCCTGTTGCTGAACAAATGGTTGGCGATGAATTTACTTCTTGGCTTCGCAGGACAGGACTGAAGGGTATTTTGTGGAAAGAGCAAATGAAAGAAGGGTTTTTTTTTATTCCTTCTTTGGGAAGCGAAGCAAACATTTTAGTAGCAGAACTTAATTGTTTTGACTCAAGCGATCCTTTGAAAGACAAATCAGAAAAAGTTTGGGGCGAGTACTGGGAGAAAGATTTACAGCGAGTCATAGAGAATGAATGGGAAGCGACAGGATCAAAGGCCTCGTTTGAGAAAAAAACTCGAATTCGATGGATATATATTGAACGAAGGAATCGAAAAATTGCTTGCTTGGAATTAGATTTCCATGTCAAGAGAGCCAAAATCTACCGTGTGTTAAATTATTTGAAAGACTGGCAACCATTAGTGTATAGAAACGGAGCAATTGAATTGGGGGATGCGGGGCTTACTAATCGAAAAATTTACTACAGATACGACGACGAACAAGATTTTAAAAGAGTGTTCGAAGCCTTTGTCTTCTTCGAAGATGACAAACAGTATGTGTCTGAAATGTCGACTCTAGCGTTGGAGGAATATAACTGGAGTCAAATGTTTAGCAACGTGGTTTACCGTCCATTAGTTCATGGTAAACTTCTTCCCACAGTTCTTAACGACATATTCCCCAATTTAAGAAATCAAATGGAATATCTTACAAGTCTCGATGCACTCCTGAAACAAACAAAATCAACGGGAATTGTTCGTAAAGTAAAGAAAGATAAAAATTACTTCGCCGAGATAGCTCATCCTTATAAGGTGTTACGCCCTGGTAATTTCTACTTCCTATATAACAGCCAGTTGGGAAGCATCTCTCTCATTTCGATAGAACGAACTTATCAGCAGCTCAGCGAAAATTTCATTTCGCTGTTTGAGAACCACGTGAGGTTACAATTTCTTCTTCCTCTTGATCCAAATCTGAAACACGTGTCTTCTCGTCACATCACTGGAATACTGAAAAACATCAACTTTGTTGTAATTGCTGACTTATCCCAACAGTTATCAGGCACTTGTGATCAGCTTTTTTTCCAGGCCCCAGAAATGTACCAGAAAGAATCACGTAAGGCTTTCACGGCATCCTATTACTTTTCTACAAGCCGTTATAATAAGCTTTCTGTACAGAAAATAATAAACCAAACAATATTAACTATGACTGACAAGAAACTTTCTGAAAACATGGATTTTTCTTTTTCGTGGTTCCTGTCACGGTTAACAATTGCATATAGGAATGGAACTGGACCATTCGAATTCTACAAACTTGACAACGAGCTCAAACTAGAGGAGTGTAATGGTGAGAATGTGTTCGGCAACAAGATGGAAAAATTAGATGCAGAGAGAACAGACGTAGAGAATGCGAAACTCATAATTACAGCACTTCTGTCATTCGAAGATTTTATCCCAATAGGAAATTATTTTGCAAAACAAATGACTGTTAGTTCTGATATTGAACCGAGATCGGACAACTTAAAAAGGTCACCAAGAGATACAGTTGCTGTTAGTTCTGTTGAAACGAGATTGGACGACTTTAAGTTGTCTAATTTGCTATTAAAAGAATCCATGTTGAAAAGATGGGAAAAGCTGTACAAAAGTGGGACCAACGAAGAAAGAGCCCAGTATCTGCTGTCGGTCAAACAGTTTCTTCAAAAGGAGATAGTGATTTCCAGAGCAGAGAAGCAGAGTGTTCTCGAATTACTCAAGTCAGTTACAATGCAGCATTGTTCCGCATTGACTTCTAACCATCTCCAAGGTTTGTCAGTCTACTAATTTGAGACCTGAGCTTTCAGAAAGCAGACAAAATTTAAGTTAGAGAACGCTTTATGCCTGGGTTCATTATCATATCATAGAATATCAGCTTTGGCTACTATAAAGTGGTGATCAACCATGAAATAACAATTTTTTGGCCATTACATGAAATGCAGCTTCAAGGTCGAGGCAAAGTCAGAAAAAAAGTCGTGACATGTTTTTCATTTTTTGGTCTAGATTTTAGCTTGATTTATGCCTCGTGACATTACACACCAGCAAAGAAGAAAAAAGTGAAGGATTAGAAACTAAATACTTAACGCACCAGTGGTATTCGAAATTCTCGGACTACTTAACTGTTTTTCAATAATTGCAATTTTTACAAGTCAACTTTAGCTGTTAACGTGAAAACACGCGCCAGCTTCTACACGATTTTTGAAATTTTAGCGATGCTAGCTGAATTAGCACTACATCATGTTACAATATTTCTGAACTAGCGCAGGGATGAAACAATTTTTAAATAGTTCTTTTAAATAGTATAATTTAAGAGGAGTATGGTGTACTCTGAGCCATTGATCTCATGTAACTCTAATTAATGTAGATGCAGAATTATTTATTGTTCCGACTTTCGATACGAAAGTAACGGAATATTTGTGCTCGATTTTTCACCTGTGATTATTTTTCGTAAAGTTATGAGGGTTTAAAGATTGCCATTTTGGCCGTTTTGACCAATTTGGGACAATTAACGCGCGATATAATTCGCGCTATTAACGCGTAAGCGGATATTTAATCCGTCTTATAAATCGTTCCAATTTGGTTGAAGGAAGCTTATTTGCCATAATTGATGTTTTACAAGGAACGAAAACTATCTTTTTGTTTTTTATATGGCGTGTGGGGGGTTGATTTTCATAAAAAATTTCAAATTTTAGGAAAATTTTTTTTGTCATTTTATTTTAATTCATATAATGTTTTTATGTTATTACTGCTGCTCCATAAACCTTCAAAAGCAGTCGGAACATTCAGGGCTTCGCCCTGATACGAGCAGTCTTGTTACTTTTTTGAAATGAATTTTTTCCACTTTTTGATGTAAATACATTATCAATTTGATTCAAATGTTACATTTCGAGACCAAATTGTGAAATGGATAGGCACACTTTTTGATGGGTGTAAGCCACTGGAATCCAGAGACAAGTCTTTTAACAGTTTGAATTTTTGTCAGCACAATCAAAGGAAAAAACAAAGAAAGGCTAAGAAAAAGCGGTCTTTTTGCGGAATCCGCTCACTAATAACAAAAGAAACACGTTCTAATGCATCCTTTGTAGTCTTTTTTATCTGCCCATTTTGCATCAAATATGATTTTCTAAGAAGTTCCTTAAGGTGAAATCTGTTGGAAATAGTCAAATCGAACTAAACTCAAATCAATAATCTTTGCTTTTTCTTCACTTTTAATCGACCAATGATTTTTTTCTAAGATGATAAACACTTAATCTTTTTCTTACACCAAAGGCTTTGTTTCAAGCTGACAATTCAAATTCGCTGGGTTATTTCAAGTCAACTACGCGAATATTTCACTTATTTGAAAGGATTCTGACAAAAATTGTTTCGCGATTAAATGTTGTGATCAGACGAACTAACGTAATGAGAAATCAGGAAGTTTAGTTTTTGACAGATTAACAAGGAAATCTTTTTGGTGTGATAATAATTAGCCCTGATACAAGCAGTCTTGTTATAATTATTGTTGTCCCAAAGTCTGTTACAAATAAATCCGTTGCAATCAATTTTTCAAGTGAACTTAGGTGCGAGAACATGGCAATCTATAAAATTTACTCATGATTTGTTTTTGAAAACCAGCCAGCATTCAGATAACACAACGATAACACAACAAGACTGCTCGTATCACGGCAAAGCCCTGAATGTTCCGACTGCCTTTTGAGGTTTATGGAGCATTTTTAACATAAAACAAATGTAAAAAACATTAAAGAAAATATTTTTTTTCTAAAATTTGAGAAAACCATCCCTTCAAACTACAAAAGGTTAGATTTTGCTCCTTGTAACAAATCAACTATGGCATATAAGCTTCTTTCAACTAATTTGCAACAATTTCTGAGACGGATTGAATCTTCTCTTACGCGTTAATAGCGCGAAATATATCGAGAGTTAATTGTCCCAAGTTATCCAAAATGGCAATCTTTAAACACCCATAACGTTACAAAAAATTATCACAGGTAAAATACCTTTTCAAATTTAAGCTCAGAACAAAAATACCTTTTGAATGATAGAAACAAGTTGCGTCAAAAAGTGCTAGTTAAAAAGTCGAAACTTGTCTGAAGAAAAAAAACCACCGCGAGCACAAATATTCCGTTACTTTCGTTATGAAAGTCGGAACAAAAATGACGAATCCAAATACAAACGAGAATTGACTTGCTGCTTACTCAGAAATTAAGATGCAATACTTCCTCAGATGGTTTCCGTTTTTCAATTGAATGATGTATGTTTTTGTTTTCGTTAAGTTATAGATTGAAGGATCAAAATGCAGAGGTTTTCTTTATTTCAAAACAAAAACGATTCTGCGTCATTTGTATAATCAAACAATATTTCAAGCATAAATTGTCTATTTCTCTTTTAATGTACGACGCTTGAACAATTGGACATTGTTTCAAACTGTCTTGAAAATCTCAAAGAATTGTGATAATTTGCAGAATGAGTTGACGAGAGTTGGACAGGATTAAAACGAAGTTCCGACTATTTTGAGCCAAAACGCAATGTTCAAATTTTTGGGTTAAAATTTTCAAAGGAATTTCCAACATATTTTTGTTGCACCAGTTGGGAGGCAAGCAAAAACGCTAATTAATGGTCAAATTTCTCCAGATTTTTTTGAAAAAGTTGCGGCTATCCATCAAAAAAGAAAACTGGCTCTGATCAAGTTGCTCCTTGTTTTATTTGAGAAACAATGACATATCATGTTTGCTTACAATTCTCTTTTTTCAGACGTTCATAAAAAACAGTTCGAATAAGCAACTGAAAATTAGATTTTCTATCAATCGTTATTTTACCCCTCTACTTCTTTTAGCGTTTCTTACGTCTGAATCCAAAGTTTTTCTGAGTGGCAGTTTACAGTTTTTTTTGTGAGTTTTTCTTTTAAATCCGGATAAACACTTTTGATTCATTGAAGCGTTTCACTTTGCAAATAAAACGTTTCACTTTGCAATTTCAAAGAAAAAAAAACAAGTGCACCAAAATTTTAGAACTGCTTTCCGCACAGTTCAACTAAATTTTGAGCGAGTATAATTACCCAGCAATTTTTTACCCAGATATTCAAGTTTTTTCTAGCTTTTCATCTAAGAAAAGTTGAATATAAATTTTTAGCTCAAAATGAATAGGTTCAATATGAAAATGGAAACCTAGATTTTTAAACAGTTTTGGCAGAGCACACTCGATAATTAAAATCATATATTTTTACAAAAAAAAGATGATAGTAATAACAAAGATAATAACAACAAGACTTGCCGGTTGATTTGCAAATAGCCTAAAATATTTTGACTACAACTAATCAGAAAAAAATCGAAGTTAAAGTACAAAAAAAAAGAGTTACAATTTTTGTTTGAAAAATGTTTTCGTCTTTTTCTTAAGTTCTAACCATTTTTTAGTAATCGTTGGCTAAGTTAAGTGGAATAGATAAATCACAAATAATTCATCACTTAGAAAAAAATTGCGCAATTACAAGCACACGTGATCACAAACACGCCACATACAAAATTTTCAATAGTAATGACAGATCGAGTTATTCTGAAATCAAATAATACCAGCGTTTTTAATCTTTTTATACATATGAATTTGGTTTTTGATCATTACGTTTTTTTTCTCAAAACATGTATGCGTGTAAGTGTTTTAAGCTAAGCTTAAGACTGAGAGATGAAAACAACAAAAAAAAAATTTTGGCTCTAAATCTTAAAAGATTCCGCATCTTTTTATATGATCACTCTTTTTTTGTTTTTCCAGAATTTCTCATCCGGACTGCTTCCGTAGAAACTGGCTATGAATTGATCGAATGGCTAATAGACACAGTTGATCTAACATCTAGTGCAGATTTCAAGTCTAAACTGTCTTCTCTTCTTCTGAATGCATGTCGCTTGAACGATTACTCTGTGGTCCGAACTGTCTTCATGATCTTAAAGAAGTGTGATAATTTGCAGAGTGAGTTGGAGAAAATTGACCAAGATGGAAACACAGTTTTGACTATTTCATGTGATAATCCAAATCCCAATATTGAAATTGTTGAGACAATTCTGCGTGAAGGACTTCCCGACGAACTACTGCTGCATCAGTTTGCAGGCAAAAATGCTTATGAGTGGGCTAAACTCCATAGCAACCAAGCTTTGAAAAGTTTGCTAGTTGCTGAAGTCAGCCGTCAAAAATTGTTTCTAATGCCTTCAGAGCAGAGACAGCGACTGAGTAAGTACATTTCACAAAACTTCAATCTATCAGTTAGTGGTGTACTCTGGCATTTTGAGGGATACTTTTTTGATGAGCTTTTTCGTTTTTCAGTTTTTGAGCTTTTCAGCAAAATTTTTGAACGAGAAGAGAAGCGACAGTGAAGTTAGAAATATCGCTTTGGGCTGAGCAAGTCGATTAGGACCGAAAAAAAAATCTTTTAATTGTTAAGCTAGGTTCTCCAAAAAGATTGAACAGCTCCTTTGTGTTTTTCTTTCTTTCGTGGATAACTGTTTTTTTTAGAATAAAAATCTTTTGTATGGCGCATCCCCCTCTGTCAAAAAACTTGTTTAATTTTGTTTTCAAAGTCAAATCAGAAATTTTGCGGGCAGGGTAAATAAAATGAAGTAATCATTACAAAGAACCTTTCACTATTTTCGTTAATGAAAAGAATAGATCCCCTCCAAAGTAAACAGGCCATTGGTATCATCAGTGCCTTTGCTTCAAATCGACTCTTCCAGGTATGTCCTCTTCTCAAAGTACTTTTTGGCAGGTCATCGAAGCAACTTGTCTAAAAAACTGACAAAGACAGTGGAAGAAGTTTACGAGCTCAAAAAAAAGGTTAATAAATTGGCAATGGTCGGTGGCCGAGATGTCAGCAGTAACATTGCGTCATTGCAAACACTCGTGAAAAAATCCTACAGGATTTCGCTGCGTATCGAAGAAAAAGAAAAGAGCCCAGACAAATTCAAACCAGAGGAGCTCGAAAAAATCAATGAAAAGCTGAGCAACATCACGGGTAATCTCAAACGTGTGTCAGGGTTTGTGACCTTCAAAACATCCAAATTGGACAAAGAGGATTGTGATGTTGCATGGACGTCAAAGGAAGAAATTCAAATTAAACGCAAGTACCAAAAAGTTGAAGAAGACTTGAATGATGTAGATACATTTTTATCAGGCTCAGGCTGAGATTAAACTTTTGTAAACATACGAAAAAAATCTAGAATCCCTCTTGGTAGAATGACCGATCATGACTCACAAATTATTTTTATACAGTCTAAACCCAGGTAAAAAATCGAGAAAAAAGGTTAGTAACCAATCAGCGTTTTCCACAAAGTAAAAATTTTAGAAAGTTAAAAAACTTTCTGCCGTGCCGTTCAAATTGTCTGCCAAAAAAATCTAGAATCCCTCATGGCAGAATGACCGATTATGACTCAAAAATTATTTTTATCCAGTCTAAACCCAGGGAAAAAATCGAGAAAAAAGGTTTGTAACCAATCAGCGTTTTCCACAAAGTAAAAATTTTAGAAAGTTAAAAACTTTCTGCCGTGCCGTTCAAATTTTCTGCCAAAAAATCTAGAATCCCTCATGGCAGAATGACCGATTATGACTCAAAAATTATTTTTATCCAGTCTAAACCCAGGGAAAAAATCGAGAAAAAAGGTTTGTAACCAATCAGCGTTTTCCACAAAGTAAAAATTTTAGAAAGTTAAAAACTTTCTGCCGTGCCGTTCAAATTGTCTGCCATAGCCTCCTAATTGATTATGTTAATTTTCATAATTGTTTACCCAAAACAAAATGTTTTTCATTTGAATGTATAGGTAGAACAAACTATTCAACATATTTTATAGTTTAACTTCATCCTTGTTTCATGATTTGTTTTCCCAAAACAGATCATGACTAAATGAATCAAGGAGATAAATAATATTTTCGCTAATTAATAGTTGAAGAAATTATAATTGTCCGCTTATAACCATTTGTATCTATTATTTCAATTCCATTTTAATTCAATATATAATCTTAAAAAGAACACTTTTGTTGCGCAGGAAAATTATGTTTATTTTTTTAGTCAAGTTCTTTTATGTTAAAGCAACCGATTTCATTCTCCAAGAAAATGAACACGTCACGCATTAACGCATGAACACGCATGAACACGTAACCGAAATATTTTTGAATCTGCTTATGTTCATTTTTAATCTATCAACAAATCCAAAATGGAGCCGGTTTAAACCAAGTATTTTATATATCCAATTGTATTCTTTGATAATTATCACAGTGTAAAATTTAGAACTAACCAATCATAATCCATTTATAAAATTTATGATAGTTTGTCAAGCTGAAACTTGTACGATTTGTATAGGAAACTGATAACTTGTACAGAAGAAATAATTTAACTTAGAAAGCAGTTGCTCTTACTCTCCTCTAGCCTTGCAAGAATAGCAGTATATACTGGATGTATTGAGACTGGGAAATATAAGAATAAGATTAGGATCGGTATTAGAATTAAATGTTGCACGACTCAATCCGGTCAACAATTAGATAGAGCGATGAACAGACGGTGTACTCTCTATCCAAAATTACTCTATGAGAAGGCCACCCGGAACTAAACTCATCTGGTACGAGCAGAGAAGTCGTCTCGAGAGACCTATACTATCTTAGATATACAAAAAGCTAGATTTAGCACAAAAACAAAATCAAGACAAACAGAAAATAGAATTAGCTTATCTCCACATCTCATTAAGTCAAATCAAGCCGAGCCAGTTCTAAAGACAAAACTACGTCGCAACAGTGACAAAAACCAAATACTTGCATTGCAAAGTGAAAAGTCAGACGAAATTCTTAATGCTATATGAACTGCCTTGAACCGAACCGTAAAATTGATTTAATAAAATCTTAAACTGACCAATAAATAAAATTATACATAAACAACCTGTCGAGAAACAAAACTATACATTCCTCAAAACTTTGAATCTGCACAACTTTCTATAATTATTTTTGATTTAAGTTATAAATTCAGTAAAAAATAAAAAATAAAAAAAGGCAGCTTGTAAAATTTTTTTGAAAAGATAAGTTCAAAAAAAAGTTGATGGCTCCTTGCTTCTCGATGATCATTTTTTTTAATTTTCTTCTTTACCTAAATCAGCACAAAATTTTGACAAGCATTTAACTTTTTCAAAAACTGAAGGCGATTTTGAATCGATTTAGATCAATGCATCCAGGAGTGTTTGGATCCATATAAGTGTCTAAAGGTCTATTTAGATTCATAGCTACTTGAGCCAATCCGAAAATCGCGCAAATTTTATTGAATTAAATCTTGGCATTTTGAGCAGAAAGTATTTGGAAAATCATTGCAAGCATAAGCAGTGCTTTTTTTTTCTACAGTTAGCCATTAAAATCAATCGATTTTGAATTACCAATCAGAGTTTGCGGTTAAAAGCTACCAACAATCAATTTAACAAACTGAATCTTCGCAAGTTGTTAAGTTAGTTAACATCTCGATTGTTTCTAAGCAGCTTTTGGCCATTTTGGCCCTTTGCACGAAGATTAAAACTGACCAATTTCTTTATCGCTTCTTCTCTCTCCGGATCAAGATGTAACTCTTGATTTCGCGCGCCCACCTTTATCTCGACTACGCGGCTAAACTGTGACTTTTGTGTTTTATAAGCGGATTCAGCAACAAGGACGGTCTCTTTGCTCTTCTTTTGTTCTTTGAACATTCCGACAAGATTCAACAAGCTTAAAGACTTGTCTCTGGATTCCAGACACCTACACACACTCCAAATTGAGCCCCTATCCAGACCATCGTATGGCGTCGTTCTTTCTTCAGACCATGTAATTTTTTGAGACCACGTATTAAACTGGGCTCCTAAAACGAGCAGTTCTTAATCTCGGTAGTTATCAAGTTTTTGCGCGATATCATCAAAACTCCTCCAAAAAGAACTGTGCCCCTTTTTTTTTCGTTTCACTCTCAGGGCAAAAATTGTCTTGTGTTTGTTGGACTCTACTTTTTTGGTCGGCTAATTAATGTTCTGCTCTCAGACGCTTTGCTTCCTTTGTCAAACTTCACCTTTTTCTTTGACGTTTTCTTTGATATATTTCGCCTCTGGCTTGATGTCTTGCAAGATTCTTCCGGGAGTACAAGACACAATTGCTGTGCCGATGCTTTCTTACTCAGCGCTAATTTCTTTTGTTGACCCTTTCAGATCTTGACATGAAGACTTGAACGCCCCAAGACATTTATGATTTTTTTTGTGAGCTCTCTGTCTCGTCTTTTTTTTATTTTTGTGCTGTTTTAAACGTCTTTTTTAGAACTGAGAGGCTCTTCACTCCAATGCGTAAGAGTTCCTCTTCTCGAAACGTAATCAAGCGCAAGAGCAGATCCAAGGTTATGGTATCCCGGGTTGGAATCCCATAGTTAATTATCGCTTTTCTGTAGTATCCCAGTGATCACTATTTTCCAGCGCTAACTCTTGTATAATTCAAAATTTGCTCCTGCAGTACGGTTCCATGGAAAAAACTCGATTATAATCAAAAATAATTACACTTTGTGACCATGCAATCAATCATAATCCATTTTGATGCAATATTTTTCGAGAAATTAATTTGATTTTAAATCATTTGAAAACCCTTGTATTGGGTCATGATGGCTTATAGTCTCAGTTTTTTTTCATTTTTTTCTGCTGAATTTGCAGCTTTTTCTGCATTTATCGCAGCCGTCTAGATTTTTCAACCCACTCACATTTGATTAAATTTTGCAAAACCATATCCCTTACTTTTTAAATCCATGTGTTCTCCAAAAACACCTACGTTGAACACGCTGAAATTTTACCCTCATTCACACACACTTACTCTCCCCCGTCTCACACCTACTTAACAACCCGCCCCGTGTTTTTGGGGTTGGGCATAAAAGTTCTAGGGTAGGGGGTTAAGGTGTGTTAGAGGGGAGGAGGTAGGGGCGCACGCGTTTTTTTTACGTATTCTTATAGTTGATGTAAGAAAAAGGTAAGTGATTAGTAGGGGAGGTGGAGGTTAAAGAAGGAAATAAGAGTAGTGGGAGTTATTGTGAAGTATTTAGGGGGAATGAGAGACAAGTAGAAAAAAAGACAAGTAGAAAACAATACAACTTTACGCTGTAGCTAAATGTAAAATTCAACTTAACAATTGCAACGTTCAAATTTTCAATATTTAGTTTGACGGTTTTGGAAAATCTGAGCTGTTACACTTAAAACCGATTATATCGTATTAAAATCCATTACAATGCATTTTAATCCATTCTAATTGGTTATAATGGATTAAATTGATTTTAATTTTATCTGTTTTATAACCGATGATTAACCCATTATAATCGATTATTTTAGAGTTTTATGGAGACAGAACATGAAAATCCTTTATAGCCTATTATTATCCTTGGAACATCATTGTGGGGACCTTTAACTCATTCGAATGAGAGTGTGAGTTAATAAACCATATAAATTGAAAGAAACTAAAACATGAGGGAGCAGAGGTAAAAACATCTAGCTACTAAGCTAGTGGTCCGAATAGGATTAAGCGTCGTTATGTCTCTATTTTTGCTCATTTCTATAGGTTAATTATTGCTGATTCATCACAAAAATTAAACCAAATTAGCGATAATTCATAGGTTAAATTGGCTCTTGAGGCAATGAACATCGATAACTCATCAAAGGCGACTGCTGTTTTTTTTCCACATCTTTATCGCTAATTCTCATTGTGAATTCAACCCGGGATCACTCTTTGTTAAGGACTGTTTATTGCTGCTTTTTCTACTGGAACTTCAGGATGACCAGGAAGTACGCCTGATTTTGTCAAGCCATCTCAACAATGCGAAAATTTTTCCAGAGCAAATTTCAAACTGGGAGCCCCTGGAACGAGCAGTTTTTATTTTTGATAATTGCCAACTTTTTTGTGATAGCATTTGGACTCTACAAACAGTTTTCTGACCACTTGTTTTTCTAAATTCCCAAGGCAAAACTGCTCTCTCACCATCGTGTTGTTCGGACTCTCGGTCAAAGTATATCTGTCGATATTTTCTTAGTCTGCTCTTTTAAGTTTTCTGATATATTTTCTTCTCTGGATTGATGTCCTGTCAGAAACCTTAACCGTCTGAACACAAAACCAATTCTATGTGATTAATCATGAACAGACAAAACCGTGTTAAGCTCAATTATTACTTCCCAGTTTTATTTTCAAACAGATACAAGCAGAATATCAGAGTCGGCATTTCTTTTAAGTCGACCAAATTAATTTTTCGATATTTCCCAAAGCACAAGCACTAAAAGGTCCCTGTTTCCTCCAAATTTTCTGCGCAGCAGGCAAAATCTCGAAAAAAAACAGGCCAAAAAAAGTGATTTTAGGCTCTTTTTGGAAAGTGGTGAACAAAAAACCGCTTTTTTTTGATACGCGCTCCCCCCTCAAAATTTGTTTATATTGGCACCAAAGGCGCCTTTAGAAAATTTTTAGGGTCCGTCGCCAAATATGGATATCTCAAAGTAGTACAAAGGGGTACCCTTTAGGTTGGTAGGGGGTCGAATTCTTGAATAAAGGTAGGCGTGCGCCAACTCCACCCCGCCCTCGCCACAAATCCGCCTCTGTTTCAAATCAAATAAATACGGGGGCAAAAACTAAGTGGGGCAAAAACTAAAAAGACAAATATAACAGCTTCAAATTTCTTATGGTCAATTTGCAAGGCAGCAGCTGCTTCTTTGGGACCAGGAAAAGCAATTTTTTGTAGTGCTGCTTTTCTGTGCCGCTCGAATAAGCTTGAAATGATTGCTGCAACAATCGTCCGGATATTAATTTACGACAAGAACTAATACATAACCTAAAAAATGGCTAGTTTCAAAATACGATCTCATTTGCTTTCAACCGCCTCTACTAAAGCCAGCGGTTAGTCCATCGTAAATAGGGTTGGCGAACTTGCTATTTTTTGGAGGCTAGCAGCCATTTGCCTGGCTACCTGCAACAATTTTTAGTTAACGCCATGGTTGGGTCTCAGAATCCCCAGACCTCACGGTCACTCCTCAAAACAGGGCTAGCATGTTTTTGATTTTTGAGATAAGTTTGATCCATCAAAGAAGGATCGATTTTTTTTTCTAGTTCCTAGCTCCTCATATCCTGGAAAGCAGAATGAAGGGTGTTGTATGGAATTCAGGACATTTCCAGTTAGCAAAAAGTCAATACATTTGGCAGAAAAATAGTCAGTAGACCCTTACTGATCTGAGATCGCCGTTGAAGAAGCAGCATCTTCACCGTCGGTAAAGCTTTTCTCTCGTTTCTCTCGATATGATCGCCTTCTTGATTTGTACAGCAGGCCATGTAACGATTGTATTTGAGCAACCGTTCTACCTTTCTTGATAGGAACTTTCTTGATTTCTTAAAAATTGTAATTCTTGTATTTGAGCAACCGTTCTACCTTTCTTGATAGGAACTTTCTTGATTTCTTAAAAATTGTAATTCTTTCGATCGATGATTTTCCGATAGATCACTGTTTTATTTTTTGCCTGATTTTTTTTCCGTTCTCACGAGAGAGTACCTTTTCTTGTATTTTCATTTGATGGTAAAGTAAAAAGTTGCAAGTTTCTTTATTGCAACTTAATACTAAAGGAAACCCGCCAATTTCCTTGACCTTCATTTTTTCTTTTGGTCAGTTCACGTCCTTAGCCATCTTTTCGGATAGTTTATTCGTTTGAACTACCTTGTCAATATAATCGTTTTCTGTTCTCAATGTTTTTTTTCAAGTCAGTTTTCTTCGAAGGATTGATCCACTAGTTGTTGTGTAATCGAGAGATTTGGTTTCCGCCTTTCAGTTGCCACAAAAATATGAACTGTTACCTATCTGTACGAAAGCTTAAAGTTGAAAAACACCAACAAGATTTTTTGATCTCACCAAACTGTGTTTCAAAGACAACATAATGATCGGGCAGCCATGGAGGCTTTTTAAAAATGCATATTATTGAATGCCAATGCTTCTATTTAGAGCTAATTCTGTTTTCTATTTTGTCGACGACTTGAAAGGAGAAGAGAATTTTTATTTTAATTCCTTTTATTTTAATTTCAGCGTCAACGCGCATTGCAAAAACATACAGAAAACTGTCCAATTTCTGATAAAAAGAAGAACGAGCCACGGGATCTTAAAAATCTTGATCTGGCATGAAGTAATCAGCAACACATTCTTGAAACTGACTCACTCAACTACAATCGTCATCTTACCAGTTTGAAAGAGAAATGATTCAGTTTTTCTCTAAAATCAGAGATATTGTATACTGTGAACGTAAATGTGGCCCAGAGGTTGTCGAAACCCTCGAAGAAAATTTAAGAGAGCACAAGTTAAATCATATGTACTATCTCAAGGAAAACAGCCAGACCAAACTAATACTTTGACTCATCCACCCTCCACATATGTTGCAGGTGAAGACATTCTTCACCATCACTCAAAAGAACTGCAAGAACAAAAATCAAAGCAAAAATTAGAAACAACAAGCATCTTAAATCAGAGAAACGGAAAAGCCATCACAAAGCCAAAAAAAAAAGTATTTCCAATTATTAGTCCAGGGTTTTACTTGCTCTCTCTGAGTTGGTCTCTTTGTGACCTTTCCCAGCTTGGAGATATGAACCTCAGGGGGTTGAGAAATTAGACGATAAGCAAATTAGACTGAGGCACTTGAAAGGAAATAAGACGTTTTTGCGAAACTGCAATTGTGAGAAATTAGACGAAAGTCAGAGAGATTAAAATTGTTTGTAGACAGATTGCGAGTGGAAAATAAAATTGTTTGCTGACAACAGTTAAACTTCGGTGGCCAAAAATTTTACATGCAAATTATACTTAATTTATTCAAATTAAAACTATCCTCTAATATTCGGATTTGACATTTTATTTTCATTTAAATTAATTGTTTTGATAGGTATTGTCATTTTATGTTCTTTTTGTATTTGTGAAACTTGAAAAAATTTTGTTATGGTCCTTTCCCTTTCATATCACTGACGTCTAAAATGCCACATCTGTAAAATGAAAAATATTCGTTTAGTTTCGTTTTGTAGCATCCGTCTGACTTGCTTATCTTCTTTTTTCGTAAGCCCCGAAACTCAAGGATAGCGAATACAAAACACCCCCCCCCCCCCCCCATTCCAAATATCGAAAGCTATCCCGCACCGGAGTTCCATGGATAATCATCAATTATACTGAGTTTTCGTGGTCTGTCTCAATAAATTTTGAAAATAATCGATTGTCATTGATTAAAAATAAATTATAATGATACTATTTTTCTAATCAATAAAATCCGAAAATAATCGATTAAAATTGACTATAATCGAGTGTTTTTGAAAGAGTATGAAACCAATTTTCGTTGCAAAATAATCCATTTTTAATCGATTATAATCAATTATAATTGCTCATTTCTTAGATTAACTTTCAGACCAAAGGTTACCAAATTTAGTAACCTAATTCGGAAAAGTTCTCTTTAATTTTTTTACAATTATTCTTTCACATTTTTCAACTTCAAATGTTCGATTTTTTTTAAATTGTGCGACCTCAAAAATAACCATTCTAAAGGAAAAAGGAGAGAAGAGCCCCATACATGACAAAACATGACTAATTATATTTGTAGTTTTATATTTTACCCTGGAACGTTTATCACGCTGGAACGAAAGGACCCTGGATTCGTGACTGACCTAATTTATCCTTCTAGTTTATCGGCGATTGACTTTCTCGGAAAATATTAGTTGAATTTTTTGGTCGGGGATGGGAGCTATTATGGTAAATGAATTTCGCAAACAAAGAAGACTTGTTTAAATCATATGATTTGAATACTTCTTTACAGGGGGCCTGAATTATGCGACCTATAAAATTTTCAAAGATTCATTTTTGTTTGTTAAACCCAGTTACCAATTTTTCTACCCTTCCCGATCAAGATGTTTTCAGCTGAATACTAAATCGAAGAGCAGAACTTTTTGCGACGTGAGGAAGTTTGTGAAACCTATATTTCCGCTAGATTCCGGGGTTTCAAATTTTTTAAGATGTAAAAAAATTTTTCAATAATTTTTGGCCTGTTTCAAATCAAACCGGGAGAGCTTACCCGTTTTTAGGGAGTAACATTAAGGGGGACGCGTAACGGCATGCTTGGTTTCCTTCCCCCAGCCCCCCACGATTGCAACTTAGCTCTTGAATTTTGTTCCTAAATTCTGTTTTATGATTATTATGATTACTGTTATGATTTTTTTTATGATTATGGTTATTATTATTGTTATTTTCGTTATTATTGTATAAGCTTGGTTTGCGCCCGCATCCCATCACGAGAAGCAAATAAAATTTTCTATTTCAAAATTTCCAGATACTACGAACACTTTTTCTGATCCTTATTCGTCGTTAATATTAAATAAATAAGTAAATTAACAGGTGACCTAAGTGGGAATGGAGTAGGACAGGTCGTGAGAACAGTGGGCGTGGGGTAAGAGAGGCAGTGATCTCAGTGGGTGTTGGATGAAAGAGGGAGTTACCTCAGTGGGTGTTGGTGAAAGAGGAATGACTACAATGGGCGTTGGGTGAAAGATGGAGTGACATCAGAGGGCGTCGTGTACGTCATCCCGTGTAGTGTTTTACTAAGTTTATAAAATTTTGTTTGCAGATATCGGTTGACTTTCACATCACATTACAAAAAAAAATAAAAGGAGCAAGGAAACAAAATCAGGAGAAAAAGTCGAATTAAAAGTAAATTTGAAGGGGAGCTTGCATAACTTCATTTAGGAAAATGGAAAACATTAATCGTCACTTTATTTTCGAATTTCTTCAGGAAAACATCTTCAATCGAGTTGGAATCAGATATTACACGAGTTCAATTTAGTCAAATCAAAATTTCGACATCATCATCATCATCATCATCATCATCATTCTCAGAGGTGTTAAGGTAAATTTCATTTAATGGGTAATAGCAAGCATAACTTTTTAAATTAAATCTCTGCTTTCAAAAAACTAAATTTTGATTGTTTTGTTCCGGTGCACGGAGATAATGACGGAATTTTTGTGCACTTATGTTGTTTTTGGTTTGTTTGAAAAATCCTAATTGGTAAATGTACACAAGTTTCCAACAACATTTTTTTGAACCAACCTTAAAGTGGAGCCGTAAAATTCAGGGCTTCGACATGATATACGAGTAGCTTTTTTCATAGGTACTTATACCAATTCGATTCAACGACATTAGAAACAGAACTTTGTCTGTGCTAAATGTTGTTGTAGACTATAAAACGCATGGTTTAAACATAACTTAAAAACGATCATGGCGTAAATCTATGCCACTGTGTGTGAGCACCTATGTGCGTCATTAAGGGTGCCCCCACGGGTAACTGTATCGGTGCTCTACGTAAGTATGGGTGCCCCCATATGTGTCTCTCTGTGTGCCTCTTTGTGTCTGTAGGGGTGCCCCCACGTGTGGCTGTATGGGTGCACCCACGTTTGTCTCTATGATACCCCACGTGTGTGTTTATCGGTGCCTCACGTGTGTCTCTGGGTGCCTCCACGTGTGTCTGTGTATAAACCCCCATGTGTGTTTGTATGGGTGCCCCCACGAGTGTGTTTATGGTTGCCCGCAGGTGTTTCTCTATGGACGCCCCCACGTTTAGCTGTATGGGTGCCCACACGTGTGTCTGTATACGTGCCCAAGTGTGTTTGTAAGAGTGCCCTCATGTGTCTGTGTATATGTGCCCCCTCTGATCGTTATTCGTTGTTATAACAAAATAATTAAGTAAAGTAACAACTGACCTAAGTGGGAGTCGAGTAGTGCAGGGAGTCGAGAACAGTGGGCGTGGGGTAAGAGAGGCTGTGACCTCAGTAGGTCTCGGGCATGAGAGGCCTTGAGCTCAGTGGGAGTCGGGTAAGAGAGGCACTGACCTCATTGGGTGTTGGTGAAAGAGGAATGACCACAGTGGGCGTTGGGTTAAAGATGGAGTGACCTCAGTGGGCGTCGGGTACGTCATCCAGTTTAGTGTTTTACTAAAAATATTTAGTTTCATTTGCAGTTGAAGTTCACATATCATTTAAAAAAGAAAAGGAGCCAAAAAAACAATATCAGGAGAAAAAGTCGAGTTAAAAGTACACCTGAAGGTAAGCATGCTAAGTTTCATTTAGAAGTATGGAAAAAGATATCGTCACTATATTTCACATTTTTTTCAGGAAAAGGTAAACAATCGAGTTGGAAGCAGATGTTACACGAGTTGAAAGTAACTTTTTGTCATCATGACTATAATCATCATTCTCAGAGTTGTTAATGTAGGTTTCCGTTAATGTGTAGTAGCAAGCGTAATTTAGTAAATTACAACTCTGATTGCAATCGGACTGTATTTTGATTGTTTTATTCCGACGCACGGAGAAAGTGACGGAAATTTTGTGCTGTATGTTATTTTTGGTCCGCTTGGAAAATTCCTTTTTGGTAAATGTACGCAAGTTTCCAACAAAAATCTTTTTGAATCAACCTCAAATTGGAGCCGTAACATTCAGGGCTGCGACATGATATACCAGTAGCCTTTTTCATACGCACATATACCGATTCGATTCGAAAACCGACATTAGAAACATGTTTCAGTCTGTGCCAAATGTTGTTGTAGACAATAAACTGCTTGGTTTAAAAATAACTCAAAAATGATCATAGTGTACGTCTATGCGACTGTGTGTGATCACCTAAGTATGTGTGTAAGGGGACACCACGTATGTCTGTATGGGTGCTCCACAAGTGTCTGTATGGGTGCCCCTACGTATGTCTGTATGTGTTCCCCTTCGTGTGTCTGTATGTGTGCCCCCACATGTTTCTGTTTGTGTGCCTCTAGGTGTGTCTGTATGTGTGCCTCTATGTGCGTCTTTATGCGTGCCCCTACGTGTGACTGTATGTAGCCCCCTATGTGTGGCACTATGTGTGTCTGTATGTGTGCCCCCATGTGTGTCTGTATGTGTGCCTCTATGTGTGTCTGTAGGGTTGCACCCACGTGTGTCTGTATACGTGCCCCAAAAGTGTTTGTTTGGGTGCCCCTATGTTTGTCTGTATGTTTGCCTCTATGTGTGTCCCTTTGTGTGTCTATGTGTGCCACTATGTGTGTCTGTATGTATGCCTCAATGTGTGTCTTTAGGGGTGACCCACGTTTGGCTAAATGGGTGCCCCCACGTGTGTCTGTATACGTGCCCCAAGTGTGTTTGTGTGGGTGCCCTCATGTGTGTGTATATGTGCTCTCTCTGATCGTTGTTCGTTGTTATTACAAAATAATTAAGTAAAGTAACAACTGACCTAAGTGGGAGTCGAGTAGTGCAGGTCGTGAGAACAGTGGGCGTGGGTAAGAGAGGCAGTGACCTCAGTAGGGCTCGGGCATGAGAGGCATTGAGTTCAGTGGGCGTCGGGTAAGAGAGGCACTGACCTCAGTGGGTGTTGGTGAAAGAGGAATGACCACAGTGGGCGTTGGGAGAAAAATGGAGTGAATTCAGTGGCGTCGGGTACGTCATCCAGTATAGTGTTTTACTTAATTTGTATAGTTTCATTTGCAGATATCAGTTGAAGTTCACATATCACTATAAAAAAGAAAAGGAGCAAGGAAACAATAACAGGAAAAAAAGTCGAGTTAATAGTACACCTGAAGAATGGAAAAAATATATCGTCATTAAATTTCACCTTTTTTTCCAAAAAAAGACCGACAATTGAATTGGAACCAGATATTACACGAGTTGAAAGTAACATTTTGCCACCATTATTATCATCATCATTCTCATGTAGGTTTCCTTTAAAGTGTAGTAGCAAGAGTAAATTAGTAAATTACAGCTGTGTTTGCAATCGGACTGTATTTTGATTGTTTTGTTCCGACGCACGGAGAAAATGACGAAACTTTTGTGCTCGCATGTTATTTTTGGTCCGTTTGAAAAATTCCTGGTTGATAAATGTACACAAGTTTCCGACAAAAATTTTTTGGAATCAACCTCAAATTGGAGCCGTAACATTCAGGTCTTCGACATGATATACCAGTAGCCTTTTTCATACGCACACATACCGCTTCGATTCGAAAACCGACATTAGAAACATGTTTCAGTCTGTGCCAAAAGTTGTTGTAGACAATAAACTGCATGGTATAAACATAACTCAAAGATGATCATGGTGTAGGTCTATGCGACTGTATGTGAGCACCTAAGTGTGTCTGTAAGGGGACACCACGTGTGTCTGTATGGGTGCTCCACAAGTGTCTGTATGGGTGCCCCTTCGTTTGTCTGTATGTGTGCCCCCACATGTTTTCGTTTGTGTCTCTACGTGTGTCTGTATGTGTGCCTCTATGTGCGTCTGTATGCGTGCCCCTATGTGTGTCTGTATGTGTTCCCCTATGTGTGTCACTATGTGTGCCTGTATGTGTGCCCCCATGTGTGTCTGTATGTGTGCCTCTATGTGTGTCTGAATGGGTGCCCCCACGTTTGACTCTATGAATGCCCCCACGTGTGTGTTTGTGGGTGCTCCACATGTGTCTCTATGGGTGCCGCCACGTGTGTCTGTATATAAGCCCCCATGTGTGTTTGTATGGGTGCCCCCACTTGTGTGTGTATATGTGCCCCCTCATTTATCTCTATGTGCGCCCCTATGTGTGTCTGTAATTGTGTGTATGTGTGCCCTAATGTGTGTCGGAATATAAGCCCCTACGTGTGTCTGTTTTTCCTTTTTCCTGATCATCTTCATGATTTGTAGATTGGACACGAGTTGCCCTCGATGGCTCTCCTACTCGATTACCGCTGAGATCACTGGTTCTCCTACCCGATGCCCGCGGAGTTCACTGGTTCTCCTACTCAATGCCCGCTGAGGTCACTGGTTCTCCTACCCGATGCCCGCTGAGGCCACTGGTACTCCTACCCCATGCCCGCCGAGGTCACTGGTTCTCCTACCCGATGACCGCTCATGACGTACAGAAGAGCCATGAGAGAAGTAGTTAATGGCAGAAGTATTCATTGGGGGCAATCTTCAATGGGAGAAAATGAAATGAAGATTAATTTTTAAACATCTAAAGGGTGCTTCTAGTTTTATTCATGTCGTTTTAGATATGCACGATTTAGGAAAATTTGGTGACTTTACATCTTTAAACTTGCTTTTTTTCTTCCGGTTTTAATTAGAACTGAAAATAGACTAGCCTAATTAGCGAAATTAACTGGATAATGTTGGAACTTCTTGGCAAAATAATCGATTATATTGGAGACAAAAATGGATTATAATAGGTTAAAATGGATTATCATGGATTTTTTTTTCAAAATTAATTGATCTTAATAACCACATAAATGATTACGAGCTGGTCTAAACTTGCAACAATAATGTTTAATAAAGGCAACATTTTTTGACAACAATTTTCCATTATAATCGATTATTATCCATGGAACTCCGGTGTGGGATGAGTGTCACCAAATACTAAATATGACAGTTCGCAAATTGGTTTCAATCAGCCCCAATCTATACTTTTCAACCACGATAGAAGCATTATTCTACTCTTGAGGACTTTATAGAATTCCGCAGATTCTTATATCTGAAGCCTGAGCTAAATTTGAAGATGCAAAAGGGGAAAACGACTGTCTGATGCGTAGAAAAGGGTTTGCGAAAATCAGAAAAAAATTTAAAGCGTGACATTTCAGAAACAATAATGAAATTTTGTCGATGACATTGAAACAAAACAAGTGAACAAACAAGGTACATCGGAAAAAGATAAGTAGCCTCTAAAGTTTTTTGAAAACCAAATAGAAACCCTGAATTTTTCGTTAGATCAACATCAATGAAGTTGCATATCATTAATGAAATTTAAAGTTTTTGTTTTTTCTAGATCTTTTCTAAGTTTACTTTCACAGAGTTACAAGTTTCAAACTAACAAAAATGATCTGCAAAAAAATCTACAAAAAACCATAAAATTTATCTTAAAGTTTTTCTAAAACAGTTTTCTCTGAAATTTATCTTGTTTTGATAATTTAATGTAGCTTTGGAGAATCTTGAATGAATGTTTGCTCATTAGCATCTACTTAACGTTAGCCCCCTTTTAAGAAAGGGGTACGTTTCTTTAGCAGACTAAAAATAACGCATTTTCGACCAATCAGATTGCAGAAAAATTAGAATTCTTAATACAAAGCTCTAGCGCTAATTGCTGCTGTGAAAAGGGCTGGCAATTCTTAAGTAGATACCAAAGGGAGGGTGAGTGTTAAGTAGATCCGCTCCTTATTTTGCTTTGAAGTTTTTTCGAAAAAAATAACTTTTCTTTGATATCTTTAAAGATCTTGAAGAATCTTCAATAAATCTAGAAGAATCTTGAAGATCTTTTCAAGATTGCACGAAAAATCAAATTCCTCTGTTGAGCTGCCGGAGCGTTCGTAGATGTTTCTGAGTTCCTATTCATGTAGTTTGGACGCTTAGGTAATTTGGAAAAAGCTGGAATTATTTGAACTTTTCTTTGCAATCTTTGACAAATCATCAAGAATCTTCAAGATCTTGGCTACAATTTGAAGATGAGTGGATCTGGGAGGAGAAAGAATCTTTCAATCTGTTTTGAAGGATCTTGACCAATCTCTGACTTTTCCAACTCCGGGTTTTTGCTTCCTGATTATAAAAACTAATGAAATGACAGACAAATGACAAAAAGTCATTCAAAAAAGCACGGATGAGTTCTTTCTGCTGTTCATAACCTCTTCAAGCTTGAACTTATCATAACACACTGTCCATTACATGACTACTCAGTAACATAATCTAGTCACGTGAGCAACCAGTCGAAATATGTTGTCTGCACAAATGCTCCATGTTCAAATTTTTATCAATGGACGTCAAAAACATATGTTCAGAGCTCAGCAAATTCTTCTGCAATACTCAGAACATTGATTTGATCATTACTGATTACATCAACGTCCTGGACACTAACTGGAAAAAAAGTCATCTGAAAACCAGTACAAAAATAACATGCTAAAAATTTTGAGTGAGTCGAAGATAATAAAGTTTGCATCTAAACAAATCATACGCACTTAAATTTACACGTCACTTCAAACAGCACTGAGTTTCTGACTAAAAGCCTTCTGCAGACTATTTGCCACTGGAATCCAACATGACCATTGCGAGATCAAATTGTGCACCATGGAACCTGATCTAAACTACATTTTATTATTGGATAAATTAGATATTTTACCACTGTAAAATATTTAATATTAACCAATCATAATCCATCCAACTAACAACCCACTTAATTTTAAATCCTGAATTTACTTGTAATTTCAGCACCAGAGAGATTTGAATTTAACTTACAAATTAGTTACCTCTCCAAGAGAACTTCAGCAGTCGAAATAAACCAGTATACTCTAGATCTATTGAGCCTAGCAGAGACTAGTTAAACACCCTGAGACTAGCAGATATAAGAGTAAGATTAGGATCGGTATTAGACTAAGAAGTTGCACGATTCTATCCGGCCGAAAAAAAGATAGCGTGACGAGCAGACAGTGTACCCTATCCGAAATTACTCTATGAGTTAACCTCAAGGACAAAACCCATCTGGTGCGACCATAAGTCTCGAATAAGACCTTAATAGCTTAAAATTAACCAAATATAGATTAGAAAATAGACAAAACATTTTCAAAATGTTACACGACAATAACTTAATTGAAATGTCTCAACGACTCAATGGATCAGAGCCGCTATTCCGCTCAATACGAGAACTACCCGGTATTGGAAGAAGACCTCGGAAAAGAGACGACATACGACTACGTAGAAACTTACCATTTAGTTTCATGGTTTAACGGCAAAACCCAACACAAATTTTTATATTTAAAATCTTATTAGCAATGAATTTAGATTTTCATTTGCAAACATAAATCCTTTGAAGCAACCCTTCAATGAATATTTCAGGCGCTAAACAAATATACTAATGTACAATACCGTTTGATAAAAAGATCTCAAATCGTTCTCTCAACTTCTGCAGTATTATATAAAACATATTTGAAAAATATTTATTGAAAACAAAAACAAAAATTAGTAGCATGACAATAAACTGATAGTAAATATAAATCATCCTGTTGTTCCAGCTTCATCGCCTAAACATAACAGCAATCGTAAGCTAACTAACATCATTAAAAATTAAAAACTTTTATCAAATAAATTTAAACCATTTTAAACTTAATTTTATTAAATCTTCAACCAGATCATCAAGGCTTTCCTTGGATCTAAATGAATTTTCTAATTATACCTGAACCTTGTGGATC